ACATAGACAAACACACAGCTGCGCTTTCAATAAAAGGCTTTGTTTCCCCTATGACATTACAGAGCCTTCCCTTATTATACAAGGAATTGTTTCCCCTATTGCATTACAGAGCTTTCACATATTATACAAGGAATTGTTTCCCCGAAGACAACACATAGCTTCCCTTATTATACAAGGAATTGTTTCTCATATGACAACACACAGCTTCCCTTATTATACAAGGAATTGTTTCTCATATGACAACACATAGCTTTCCTATTATACAAGGAATTGTTTCTCATATGACAACACACAGCTTCCCTTATTATACAAGGAATTGTTTCTCATATGACAACACATAGCTTCCCTTATTATACAAGGAATTGTTTCTCATATGACAACACATAGCTTTCCTATTATACAAGGAATTGTTTCTCATATGAAAACACACAGCTTTCCTATTATACAAGGAATCGTTTCCCCTATGACAACACACAGCTTCCCTCATTATACAAGGTATTGTTTTCCCTATGACAACACACATCTTTCCTTATTATACAAGGAATTGTTTCCCCTATGACAACGCACAGCTTCCCCTATAATACAAGGAATTGTTACCCCTATGAAAACACATAGCTTTCTTTATTATACAAGGAATTGTTTCCCCCATGAACACACACAGCTTCCTTTATTATACAAGGTATTGTTTTCCCTATGACAACACACAGCTTTCTTTATTATACAAGGTATTGTTTTCCCTATGACAACACACAGCTTCCCTTATTATACAAGGAATTGTTACCCCTATGAAAACACATAGCTTTCTTTATTATACAAGGAATTGTTTCCCCCATGAACACACACAGCTTCCTTTATTATACAAGGTATTGTTTTCCCTATGACAATACACAGCTTTCCTTATTATACAAGGAATCGTTTCCCCTATGACAATACACAGCTTCCCTTATTATACAAGGCATTGTTTCCCCTATTGCATTACAGAGCTTTCACATATTATACAAGGAATTGTTTCCCCGAAGACAACACATAGCTTCCCTTATTATACAAGGAATTGTTTCCCCTATGACAACACACAGCTTCCCTTATTATACAAGGAATTGTTTCCCCTATGACAACACACAGCTTCCCTTATTATACAAGGAATTGTTTCCCCTATGACAACACACAGCTTTCCTTATTATACAAGGCATTGTTTCTCATATGACAACACATAGCTTCCCTTATTATACAAGGCATTGTTTCTCATATGACAACACACAGCTTTCCTCATTATACAAGGAATCGTTTCCCCTATGACAAAACACAGCTTCCCTCATTATACAAGGTATTGTTTTCCCTATGACAACACACATCTTTCCTTATTATACAAGGAATTGTTTCCCCCATGAACACACACAGCTTTCTTTATTATACAAGGAATTGTTTTCCCTATGACAACACACAGCTTTCCTTATTATACAAGGAATCGTTTCCCCTATGACAATACACAGCTTCCCTCATTATACAAGGTATTGTTTTCCCTATGACAACACACATCTTTCCTTATTATACAAGGAATTGCTTCCCCTATGACAACACACAGCTTCCCTTATAATACAAGGAATTGTTTCCCCTATGAAAACACATAGCTTTCCTTATTATACAAGGAATTGTTTCCCCCATGAACACACACAGCTTTCTTTATTATACAAGGTATAGTTTTCCCTATGACAACACACAGCTTTCCTTATAATACAAGGAATCGTTTCCCCTATGACAACACACAGCTTCCCTCATTATACAAGGTATTGTTTTCCCTATGACAACACACATCTTTCCTTATTATACAAAGAATTGTTTCCCCTATGACAACACACAGCTTCCCTTATAATACAAGGAATTGTTTCCCCTATGAAAACACATAGCTTTCCTTATTATACAAGGAATTGTTTCCCCCATGAACACACACAGCTTCCTTTATTATACAAGGTATTGTTTTCCCTATGACAACACACAGCTTTCCTCATTATACAAGGAATTGTTTCCCCTATGACAACACACAGCTTCCCTCATTATACAAGGTATTGTTTTCCCTATGACAACACACATCTTTCCTTATTATACAAGGAATTGTTTCCCCTATGACAACACACAGCTTCCCTTATAATACAAGGAATTGTTTCCCCTATGAAAACACATAGCTTTCCTTATTATACAAGAAATTGTTTCCCCCATGAACACACACAGCTTTCTTTATTATACAAGGTATTGTTTTCCCTATGACAACACACAGCTTTCCTTATTATACAAGGAATCGTTTCCCCTATGACAACACACAGCTTCCCTCATTATACAAGGTATTGTTTTCCCTATGACAACACACATCTTTCCTTATTATACAAGGAATCGTTTCCCCTATGACAACGCACAGCTTTCTTTATTATACAAGGTATTGTTTTCCCTATGACAACACACATCTTTCCTTATTATACAAGGAATTGTTTCCCTATGACAACACACAGCTTCCCTCATTATACAAGGTATTGTTTTCCCTATGACAACACACATCTTTCCTTATTATACAAGGAATTGTTTCCCCTATGACAACACACAGCTTCCCTTATAATACAAGGAATTGTTTCCCCTATGAAAACACATAGCTTTCCTTATTATACAAGGAATTGTTTCCCCCATGAACACACACAGCTTTCTTTATTATACAAGGTATTGTTTTCCCTATGACAACACACAGCTTTCCTTATTATACAAGGAATCGTTTCCCCTATGACAACACACAGCTTCCCTCATTATACAAGGTATTGTTTTCCCTATGACAACACACATCTTTCCTTATTATACAAGGAATCGTTTCCCCTATGACAACGCACAGCTTTCTTTATTATACAAGGTATTGTTTTCCCTATGACAACACACAGCTTTCCTCATTATACAAGGAATCGTTTCCCCTATGACAACACACAGCTTCCCTCATTATACAAGGTATTGTTTTCCCTATGACAACACACATCTTTCCTTATTATACAAGGAATTGTTTCCCCTATGACAACACACAGCTTCCCTTATAATACAAGGAATTGTTTCCCCTATGAAAACACATAGCTTTCCTTATTATACAAGGAATTGTTTCCCCCATGAACACACACAGCTTTCTTTATTATACAAGGTATTGTTTTCCCTATGACAACACACAGCTTTCCTTATTATACAAGGAATCGTTTCCCCTATGACAACACACAGCTTCCCTCATTATATAAGGTATTGTTTTCCCTATGACAACACACATCTTTCCTTATTATACATGGAATTGTTTCCCCTATGACAACACACAGCTTCCCTTATAATACAAGGAATTGTTTCCCCTATGAAAACACATAGCTTTCCTTATTATACAAGGAATTGTTTCCCCCATGAACACACACAGCTTTCTTTATTATACAAGGTATTGTTTTCCCTATGACAACACACAGCTTTCCTTATTATACAAGGAATCGTTTCCCTATGACAACACACAGCTTCCCTCATTATACAAGGTATTGTTTTCCCTATGACAACACACATCTTTCCTTATTATACAAGGAATTGTTTCCCCTATGACAACACACAGCTTCCCTTATAATACAAGGAATTGTTTCCCCTATGAAAACACATAGCTTTCCTTGTTATACAAGGAATTGTTTCCCCCATGAACACCAACAGCTTTCTTTATTATACAAGGTATTGTTTTCCCTATGACAACACACAGCTTTCCTCATTATACAAGGTATTGTTATCCCTATGACAACACACATCTTTCCTTATTATACAAGGAATTGTTTCCCCTATGACAACACACAGCTTCCCTTATAATACAAGGAATTGTTTCCCCTATGAAAACACATAGCTTTCCTTATAATACAAGGAATTGTTTCCCCCATGAACACACACAGCTTTCTTTATTATACAAGGTATTGTTTTCCCTATGACAACACACAGCTTTCTTTATTATACAAGGAATCGTTTCCCCTATGACAACACACAGCTTCCCTTATTAGACAATGAACTGTTTCCCCTATGACAACACATAACTTACCTTATTATACAAGGGAATGTTTCCCCTATGACAACACACAGCTTCCCTCATGATACAAGGAATTGTTTCCCCTTTGACAACACACAGCTTCCCTTCTTATACAAGGCATTGTTTCCCCTATGACAACAAACAGCTTCCCTTATTATACAAGGCATTGTTTCCCCTATGACAACACACAGCTTCCCTTACTATACAAGGAATTGTTTTCCCCATGACAACACATAACTTCCCTTATTATACAAGGCACTGTTTCCCCCATGAAAACACATAGCTTCCCTTATTATACAAGTAATTGTTTCCCCTTTGACAACACACTGCTTCCCTTTTTATACAAGGAATTGTTTTCCCTATGAAAACACACAGCATCCCTTTTTATACAAGGAATTGTTTCACCTATGACAACACACAACTTCCTTTATTATACAAGGCACTGTTTCCCCTATGACAACACACAGCTTCCCTCATTATACAAGGAATTGTTTCCCCTTTGACAACACACAGCTTCCCTTCTTATACAAGGCATTGTTTCCCATATGACAACACACAGCTTCCCTTACTATACAAGGAATTGTTTTCCCCATGACAACACATAACTTCCCTTATTATACAAGGCACTGTTTCCCCCATGAAAACACATAGCTTCCCTTATTATACAAGGAATTGTTTCCCCTTTGACAACACACTGCTTCCCTTTTTATACAAGGATGTATTCCCATAGGAAACAACACCCTTATCCAACCCTTGGACTAAATGACGATAGTTGTTAACAATCATTTTTAAAAAGGGAGGAAGGCAGAATTAGTAATTCTCTGGAGCTAAAAGGCTTCCTCAGGGGAGACATCATGATCATTCTTTGTTGTCACGTTTCACCGAAGCGTGACACACATGACGTTGGGACATTTCATTTTCGCTTTATCGTTGAACACGCAAGGTTGGTGTGTGCAGAAACAAAACGACGCCAGTCAGTGTCAACGCACAGATAATCATGTCCTGGTACAAGACAGTTGTGAATGTTCTGCAAATGTTGTGCTTCAACGTACTCCTTCTTGTAGACACTGAACCAATATCGTGCAGCATGCAGTCCATGCCCAACCGTGATGACCTTAACGCTACAACTGGCCTCAGATGGACGTCTGTTTTGTCTGCTCGCGTCGACTGCCTTCTTCGTTGTTATGACGACACCCTTTGCAAGAGTTTTATCCATAACCAGCTGACTGGCATCTGCTCGGGGTTTCATGCCTTGCCCCACAGAATCGAATCTTCAAATCTTCTCAACTCTCCTGGTTCGAAGTGGTTCACTATGTGTACAGGTATGTGGACTCTACAGTTGTATCTCCCAGTTTACCCAAGTGTTGAGGTGACTAACGGGATCGGGTGGTCAGGCTCGCTGACTTGGTAGATGCTTGTCATCGTATCCTATTGCGTGGATCGATGCTCATTATTTCAATCACTCAATTTTTAACTGTTTCGACTTCGAATAGCTGGAAAATTGCTGACTATGGCTATATGCAGAAGACAAACAATCAGGTTCTTGCTTAAAATAGTTGTGGTAACTATGAGTTCAGGAATTTCGGCCTTGTTGTTGCACCTTGCCAAAGTGGTTCAGTATGTATACAATACGTAGGTAGTGCCGTATAATATACTAGCCCAAAGTGGTTCAGTACGTGTACAGGTTTGTTGGACTTATTGTATCACCTAGCCAAACATATTAGCAATCCTAAAGCCAGACAAAGATTATTTAGACTTAAGGAAGACTTTGATTTAATAGATCCCCCGAGAGACTTTAATTCATCAGAAAAGCGATAAACATGGCGACAACCTACCCCATCAAAACAAGGGCGGTTAGATTATATATTAATATCTCATAATTTGAAGTATCGGTTTATTTATTTCCGTACTGAGGAGGCCACAGGCCTATAGTACATTTATAATTAGTACATTCAGAGCAGTAGAGTCTATAACAAAATATATTTCCCGTGTCTCATTGCATGATAAATGTACAATACTTCGAGTTGTTTAGCAGAGATGCGAATTTAAAGAAATTGGGATTGACATGGTAATAAAAGGAAGTGATATTCATCTTCAATGTCATTCAGAGCGCACGAATGACAAATGCGTTCTTCTCTCTTAAGACCCGTGTAACGCCCAGTTTCAATACAAAGATCATTTGAACAACATCGATATCTTGTACATTCTGTTGTGTAATGTGAATACAACCCAGCTGTAAATCCGACCATTCACCTATTTCGATCACTCTCAAATTATCAGACTTTCAACGCGGAAAAGGATTTTAGCAATTTAATAATTCTCTTTTACGAGACCCGGAATATGTCAAAACTGTCAAAATGTCATAATGGAAACAAAAGAACAGTACAATAAGGAAGATACTGGTGAAAATAAATTTATAATTAGTGATCAGATGTTTTGGGAAGTATTAATACCAATGATTCGCGGTAGGACAATTTCGCACTCGTCCGCCAAAAAAAGGAACGTGAAAAAAAAGACTTGACTGAATCATTACACCAGCTAACTATATCACTTAATAATGAAACTAATGAAGGCGTAAAAAATGACTGAGGAAATGAAATTGAACTGAATAATGGAGAACTTGAAGAAATAAGTCAGGTTAAACCAAATGGAATGTTAATAAGATCAAAAGCTTTAAGGGTGGAAATGGGTGAAAAACAATCTAAATGTTTCTTATACCTGGAAGCAATGTATTTCACAAACAAAGAATGCATGCGCGTTGAAACTGTTAGTGGAAATTTAATAATGAAGCAAAAAGAGATTCAGAATGGAGTGAGATCATTCTACAAAAAAAACTGTACACTAAACATGAAAGACATAATGACCTTTTAAGTATAATAGTTATATTTGTTAAAAAAATCTCATTACATTACATAAACAACAAAGAGTGCCAACTTTCCAAAATATTCAGCTTAAACTGTCAGAATACTACAACGTAAGTTCTGGTCAACATGTCATATGCTTTTCATGTAATTATGAAAATGATCTGCATGCAATAAAAATGTAAAGGAGAACAAAATGTATACATGTATGTAGGTACTGCCCTATAATCTACAAGCCTACGATGGTTCAGTATATGTACAGGTATTTTGTATCACCTAATCTAAAGTGATTTAGTTTGTGCTTCATCCATTTCTTTCTTCCACTTATGGTACACACAGTTAATATATACTACCGGCCAAAAATAAGTGAACCAATGATCTTTATGCAGCTGTTGAGGTGTACATTTTCAATACTGTGACGTTGCATCTGAAAATTTCTCGACAGTGGTACAAGTATTGGCAACAGAGTCAACCTTGTCAAGATCGTCTCATAACATTAATTTCACTATGCAATAGATTCAAATACTCTCCTGTTATCAATGGAGCTTTCCGTACAATAACAGGAAGGCTTGTTTCAAAATCTACCGTTAAAACCGACAATATGCAGACCGCCTGAACGCAAAGCGTCATGTGAAGGGTCTGACCTTAACAGCTTACCAAAGGCGAAAACGATTGGGGTTGGCTACCATGTTTGCAGACAAGTCAAGGTGTTACCTCCGATTTACAGATAGCATAAAAACGTTGTTGCCGACGTGGCGGCGAGCGGTAATTCTTGACCGTGATAGATTTGGGGGCTGTGGTGACATTGTGTAGGGCGGTATCACACATGGCAGGTGAACTGATTTATTTGGTTATTGTGAATGGACATTTGACTGGCGAGCGATATGTTGACAAAAAATTTGCGCGCTGTTGTTGTTCCATTCGCTAGAATTGTCAGCAAAAATGTTGAACTTTAAGATGACAATGCCAGACACATCGTGCAAAGGTCATCACCAGAAGGCATACGGACATTGGATTGGCCCACTAAGTCCCATGACATATCCCCAACGGAGCATCTGTGGGATGTTCTCGTGCGGATGGTGTACATCCAGCTTGGGGTAGCGCTTCGGAAAGGCTAACCATACGCGAGCTACTCAACAGTATGCCAACAGGGTGTCGTGCATGTGTCGCCCGACATGGTGAACACATCAGATATTGATCAGCACGCCCGAAATTAATTTTACAGAGATGTATCTTGTGTGTATATATATTTCTATTTCTCTTGACTGTTGGATAGATAACCTCTGTGATAGTTCACTGTTTATGATTATTTCCAGAACTGCAAATTGTCACCCGACGGTGCGAGTCGACTGGGTGTCCTGTGACCGCCTCCTTCAGGACAGGGCTGTGTGGATGTGGCTTCGGGCGCAGCTTTGACCCCTCCACGAAATCGTGCGTGAAATGTAAGTACGTTACGTAAATGCAAATGCTTGTCGCAGGCGCCAACCAATGAGGATCTACTGGTTACAATGTCTTGTCGTAACTTGTGCCATAAATCTGGTCTCCTGGTCCAGACTCGATAAGTTTCGCCGTCACATAGATGGAATATTGCCCACTGCGGCCTGAAACAAGGTTCACTGACACACAGCAGTTTGTTTGTTTGTTTTTTAATGCCGCACTCAGCAATATTCCAGCTTTACGTCGGTCTCTAAAAAATAAAGTCTGTACCAGGGGCAATCCAGTGGTTGATATCATGAGCATCAATCTACGCAATTGGGATATGATGACATATGCATCAACCAACTTAGCGAGCCTAACCACCCGATACCGTTAGTCGCCTCTTACGACAAGCATGGCTGGTGAAAAACTTCTTACCGGGAATCCTCACGGGACTCTAAATAGTGAGTGAATATTGTGTGACTTGGTCACATCGGGGTACGCGGACACAGTCAGCCAGGGCACACATCATGACCACCGAACGTTCATTTTATTCGGTTCTTAAGCTAAGCATACGCTACTTGGGGTCACTTGGCCGGGTGTGTCCTTTATATTAATCAGAATGAATGAACAAGGAAGCGTTCTAATGAATAAACTACCAACAAATTTATCAAGCAAGTGATGTTTCAGTGTAGATACTAACATCTATATCAACAAGTGATAAATATCAAGTTATAAAAATCACTTGCTTGACAAAGGTGTGAGAATCTACGACAATAGTCGCCCTCATTTGTAATAAGGGAGTTATCCATAACACACAGCTTATAGATCAAATTAGAGCCAGGAAAACCTGGCATTGTGGACCACCACGACACACAATTACGGGGGCCGAGGGCTAGACTATTGGTTCAGACTCGATTCCAGATTTGTAGTATGTTGGAAGCCCATTTTTAGCGTTTCCCGCCGTGGTATTGTTGGAACATGGCTAAAAGCGGCGCAAGAAGCAATTCCAAACGCAGTGACAAATCTTATCCGATTCATTTCAAACATAGAGTGTTTGGAACCTTCTTTGCCACGGATTCCCCATGGAGTGTTCTCTGTATTGAAAAAAACGTGAGGATATCGGAAGCAGTCTTGTTCAACAAACTGTCGTAAAAGCCAACTAAAAAAAGAAATAGGTGGTCAGTTCGGGTGACGGATTCGATGACTGAATCGTTGACTGACACGGTGACTGACTCGGTTACTGTCTTGGTGACTGACTGACACGGTGACAGGATCGATGGCTGACGTAAGGATTGAATCCATGAAAAACTCGCTGACTGACTAGTTGCATGATTAGGTAACCGAATCGGTGGCTGACACGGTGACAGGATCGATGGCTGACGCAGTGATTGAATCCATGAAAAACTCGCCGACTGACTAGTTGCATGATTAGGTAACCGAATCGGTGGCTGGCACGGTGACAGGATCGATGGCTGACGCAGTGATTGAATCCATGAAAAACTCGCTGACTGACTAGTTGCATGATTAGGTAACCGAATCGGTGGCTGACACGGTGACAGGACCGATGGCTGACGCAGTGATTGAATCCACGAAAAACTCGCTGACTGACTAGTTGCATGATTAGGTAACCGAATCGGTGGCTGACACGATGACAGGATCGATGGCTGACGCAGTGATTGAATCCATGAAAAACTAGCTGACTGACCAGTTGCATGATTAGGTAACCGAATCCATATCTGACGCGGTGGCTGATTCGCTGACTGACTCGATGACTGAATCGGTTGGTGCCTGGGTGGCTGATTCCGTAAGTGAGTGAGTGAGTAAGTTGGGTTTAACGCCGCTTTTAACAGTATTCCAGTTATATCACGGCGTGTCAGTTTAATGTGGGATAAAAGCCCGAGGTGATGCAGGTCTCAGACGTTTACCACTTCGGTGAAACCCACGGGCACGGCTATGGTGCTGACAAACCGAGACACATAATCGGGGCGAACCGGGAATCGAACCCACAATCATGGGTTTCTGTCGTGCCAAAGGGACGCAACTCTGCACAGCGAATCGCGGGGTCTCAGACGACTGGGCCATCCGTAAGTGACTGGATGACTAATTCCGTACGTGACTCGGCGACTGGCTCTGTGACGTGGATCGTTGTACGCCCTTTTAGCCTCTGGTTTGTCTGTCCCACTACAGGCCGGATATAGCTGCGATGTTAAATATTGCCCCTCTTACTCTCGCAATTTAAAACTGTTTTAATGCCTAATTGACAAGTATTATCATATCAGCCAGGCATACTTACGAGCATACGAAAATCCTATAACCAAGTAAGTGAGTACATGTGATGATGAAAACATCTTCAATACTTCGGGCTTTCCTCCCACATAAAGCGGGCCGCCTCCGTGGTCTAGTGGTAGAGCGTCCGCTCGGATCGCCATATCGATCTCCGGCCGCGTCATACCAAAAGACGTTAAAAGAAGGTACTTGTTTTCACCTCGCCCGGCGCTCGACATTAAGGGGATAAAACAAGGACTGGTCCCCTCGGTGTCAGTATACTGTTTCTGAGATGGATTTTCATTCATGCATGGTATCTACTGAGCTAGCACTATAAATCGGCATCAGTCCGGACGAGTACAAGTAGCCACACACACACGTGCATGCACGTCACGATATAAGTGCAATAATCTTGGACGCGACTTAAAACCCCGTTTACCTCACCTCACTTCCCACGTAATGCTGGTACGCCGAGGTATAACTGAAATAGTGTTCAAAGCGGTGTAAAAACTCTACCAACGTTGTCATGCCTAGTTACGTTTGTCAGCACCACATTCGGGCACATAGGCTTCACAAAAGTGGCAACTATCCAATCATTATGACATCCCCCCGACCCAACACACAGATAAAAATATGAGACAGCTTAAGTGCTGTTAAGTCAAAAAATTGTTCATTGTGTGTAATAAGAAATGTCTTTTCCAGCGTGCGCATCATACGGAAACGAATACATGCAGTTTACAGGCGTAGGTCTAATGGGATATCTGACCCTGAATCCAGCGCAAAAGGCGTGTTTTAGGAAGTTCTGTCCAATTGGTTATTGTGGTAACAAGAAATGTCTATTCCAGCGTGCGCATCACACGGAAATGAATACACGCAGTTGACAGACGTTGTTGTATGGGATATAATAATGCCACTCATTCAATATCTGACCCTGAATCCTGCGCAAAGGCGTGTTTAAGGATGTTCTGTCCAATTGTTTATTGTGTGTTAACAAGAAATGTCTATTTCAGCGTGCGCATCATATGGAAACGAATACACGCAGTTTACAGGCGTTGGTCTAATGGAGCATAATGATCTCAGACTTTACATATCTGACCCTGAATCCTGCGAAAAGGCTTGTTCAGCTGAAACATCCTTCGTCTGCACCACCGCGGAATCTGCCTACGGGGAATGTCGCCTGTCCCCAGTGACATGGAACGTCGTAAATATATCTGCACTGTATGTGCACAATACTGCAAATTTATTTCAACGCCACTGTGCGTCACGCCCATAATTTGTATTGTTGGGTGACTTTATCCCTCATATGGTTACAACATATCCTCAGCCGTTATTATGGTCGTCTTTTCGAAAAAGGTTTTTACCACATGGAAGTACATCTTCCCGAGGCAAGTGAGTTAACTGACTATAAAAGTCCAGTTTCCACCCTTGCCGAACTAGGCTGGTATTATGGAGTTACATTTTGGCTGGACTAACGAGTCTATGCATAGTCCAATCAAAATCGCGCACCGACATCGAAATCCAGTTCGTAAAGTGTCATGCATAGTTCGGTCGACTGCAGGATTTGCAAAGCATGTGCACCGCTAACTCGTTGTCAACAAATATTTTCTATTTCTTTTCATGTGTTTAATCAAGGTGCTCACGTGATTTGATGCACTTCGCGATGTAAGACTCGTTTGATCACAATATAGATCTTGATTATCGATCAGATCATCTTGACTGGGCGCCACCGTTTTGTTTTGAAGCAAATGCTAGTGATACGAGAGGTTGAATCTGATTGGTCAATAGGAGAGACATAGAAAGGACATTACTCGTAATAGCCACTGGTGGCGCTACGATCGAGCCCAGGAATTCCAGCCTAGTTCGGCAAGGGTGGAAACTGGACTTTTAAAGTCAGTTAACTCTCTTGCCTCGGGAAGATGATGGAAGTAATGTCAAACCCTATTTCAGTGTACTCTATGTACAATGTACTTTGACACTGCCTTCTCAATGCTTGAAACGACAAGTTTGGAATCTAATTTATTTGATGACGAGGCCTGTTCTTTCAAGGACAGCGTTGACAACAAATAGACAGGTTTTATATCAATTAAAAACAATACAATTAAGCGTGAGTGAGTGCGTGAGTGTGGTTTTTCGCCGCTTTTAGCAATATTCCTGCAACATCACGGCGGGGGAGACCAGAAATTGGCTTCCTACATTGTACCCATGTCGGGAATCGAACCCGGGTCAGCGGCGTGACGAGCGAACGCTTTAACCACTAGGCTACCCGACCGCCCCTAATACAATTAAAAAGGAATGTCATATCCACCATATCTAGGGATGTATAGACATGTTTCTAAACATACACCAACAACATGGTGAGAACATGTTAATATACAGTTCAATTCTTTATTTACCCTAAGCTTCACAGCTTATCATTGTAAAAATATATTGATGAAAAATACAGTTTTGCTCCCTCGTACAGACAAGTTGTGCAGGGTATTTAGTGATGCATAAGCACATGTTACATGTTTCAAATTTCAAATTCAAACCCAAAAATGATTCTCAATGCTTGTCGTAAGAGGCGAATTAATGGATGGGAGGGGCAGACTGGGTCACTTGGTTGCTAACGTAACATCCTTTCTTGACCGTTTCTTAAGATATCAATTACTGCTTTGCCTAGTCAAGCCTTGATTATACACGGGCAGCCGTCATATAGCTGGAATATTGCTTAGTGTGGCGTTAAACAACAAACACATTCAATGTTAAATGTACGATCACATTTTACGTGTTAAGACAGACTGTACAAGATCATCTAATGTAAAGACATGTGACCGAGTATAAACTATGTGCTGGACATAAAACATATAACTTTGGTATGGTTGCCATGGTATTTAACTGAATAAATAGTATGGGAGTAACCTCTTACGGGGTTAATAAACTAGAATATATGTACTTCACCCATTTAGGTAATTTAAAACCCATACATTTTATTACATTACGTTTTCATGAACAATTTCTGAAAGTACTTAATGCTGATCTTTTAACGATAGCTTCCTTATAAGAGAGAGTTTTCCTTACAAATAATTCGTTCGAATCTTATTTTTCTCTGCGATTTGTGGTATACCAACCATGATATTGCTGTGAATGTTTATTAAGGAATCGATTTTTTTTTCAAGCTACTTGTATTGTTTTGTTTTGTTATCTCGTGTGAATGAAACAAAAGTATCTAACATAACACTGAGGTGTGGATGTTGGGGTTTCTTAAAGAAGAAGATATTCCCCAGATCTATGTTTTTAGCAATTAAGCCCGTTTCAAATATATTACTACTGCCCTAGTATTGATAGTTATAATCCGTCCATACAAACCCTCCCGTTAATATGATCATGAAGCAATGTTAAACATCATTGTTAAGCACTAGGTGTACGAGTTCGCGGTATATCATATCTAAAAGGTGACGCATGCTGGCGTTTACGAAAGCATTCACAGAATACTTCTACGTGGTTATATATTTGTTTAAATACTTGATTTGTGTTGCACCAACTCGGCTTTCGGCTTTTTGGCATCTGTGTGTTAGACCAAAGAGAATGGATTCGCCATTTCACATGTTAGAAGTCATCCATGCTTTGACGTCGCCACAGCAACTTGCTTCTTTGCACTGCCTCTATTGCTGCTGCGGGGCATGGCTTTACAATTGTCATGCGCTGGGAGTTGTCAGTATAACGATGACATTTAAAATTCTTCTTCTCTATTATAGCACCTAGTGGTTTTAGTGTAAATTGTGAAAACAACACTGGTCCCAGTACAACCCCCCGAGGGACACCACACTTCAGTGAGATTGTATCTGACGTGAAATCATCTGGAATGCCGGTTTGCAGTCTATTGAAGAGATATTACTTCCAATCTCTAACTGAAATCGACCCAGCAGCTTGTATGTATATGTATGTATATCCTGGCGAAATTGTGTAGTTATACTTTTTTATTGTGAATTTTACACATTATACGGCTTTTCCGTTTGTCGGCAAACTGACCGCGAAACTGACGTTCAGGAACGTATGAACGACTCATTTTAACATTCATATGTTTCACGAGCCTCATTCGCGGGCAAAACCCCTAGAAATGCACTTGACAAATAAATACAGAAGCGTTGTTTCTAGCCATTTAGGCCCTTTATCTTGAACTCAGTGTTTTTACATACGTTGGAATTTGTGACTGCACGTCCGTTTAGGAAGATCTTAGCTACGACCCATCACAGATGCACATCTGAACTATCAACTCGATCAGTGTCTTGACTGACTGTGACAACAATCTGTGAATTTACCTCAGTATATATTGACACATTTTTATGATCCCCTTTCAATGATCAGCTAGCTGATCAATGGTGACTAACACTTATAATCGTAATCATTAACAACGTTGAAAATCTCCCGTCACGTTTGTCGTGTCGGTCATTTTGACGTCTTGTACTTAATGTAAATGCATTACGACGCGCTGTCAATGTCACTGTGACTGATTTACTGAGGTAGTTCTTAACATGCCTTTCTCATCGTATATCGTGCACACCTCACATTAAACATTATTGGAGTATGGAGGGACAAACTGAATGAATGTCGGAGCTTGATACAATGTTTGACCCTTACTTTATGAACGTTTATATTCCAATGAACACACACATTGTGAAAATCTTTTCCTAAATAATTCAAAAGAGGAATATGTCTGTTTAAGTCGAAATTTAAGATTTTACCTCCAGGTAGTGAGATTATGTCTTCTGAGAAAGACATTTACATATTGTGAGCTTTCTGAATTATGTTTCCATATATATTTCAAAGCATAACGATATGTCAGTATTGCACACATTGTTAAATATATTTTATTGTTTATGTCTTATGCATACTTTAATTCGGTAAAGTAGAAAATTCCTTATAATACTGGAGAGCGTTACATTGTATGTTGTCTTCTTCTATATTTTGTCGTGCTTATTTTCTATTTCAATGTTTTGCAAAAGATGTAAATGCATGACGACGCGCTGTCAATGTCACTGTGACTGATTTACTGAGGTAGTTCTTAACATGCCTTTCTCATCGTATTTCGTGCACACCTCACATTAAACATTATTGGAGTATGGAGGGACAATCTGAATGAATGTCGGAGCTTGATACAATGTTTGACCCTTACTTTATGAACGTTTATATTCCAATGAACACACACATTGTGAAAATCAATTCTTAATTAATTCAAAAGAGGAACATGTCTGTTTAAGTCGAAATTCAAGATTTTACCTCCAGGTAGTGAGATTATGTCTTCTGAGAAAGACATTTACATATTGTGAGCTTTCTGAATTATGTTTCCATATATATTTCAAAGCATAACGATATGTCAGTATTGCACACATTGTTAAATATATTTTATTGTTTATGTCTTATGCATACTTTAATTCGGTATAGTAGAAAATTCCTTATAATACTGGAGAGCGTTACATTGTATGTTGTCTTCTTCTATATTTTGAAGTGCTTATTTTCTATTTCAATGTTTTGCAAAAGATAGGGACTCTGGATAAAATAAAATTAAAAATCAAGATCATCGTCGAACATTATTAATGGTTATTATCATTATTGAAATGAATAATACACTTGATGGATGAACAAAATGTAGACTAGAGCAATATCAATTATTCTATGATGATAACATTGCCTGAAACAAAACAAAAACACAATAAAAATAAATATGTAAAATATATTTAGGAAAACAAGTTTCCAGAGTTATGTAATGCCTTCGGAACACACAAGTGACTTAGATACAATACGTATCGAATAATTTACTCTCTTTTTTAAATTCACTGCTTCTAGATTGCTTCCCTAGTTTTATACTTTTGGGGTCGCAAGATCCGTAAACCAAGTCATGTTTTTGAAAAAACCTGGCCTGGCTTAAATTCCTTGCATCGGTTCAATGTGTGAAGCCCATTTCATGTGCTCCCCGCCCTGATAGTTCTGGTATGATGCTAAATGGGGCGTGAAACCATACCCACTCGCTCTATAAATTAAGCATATATGTTTGTAGCCTCAGAGACGCATTAATGAGTGGTGTCCTCCCAAAACTTCTATATGCCAAAACTTCTACAGCTTAAAACAACAAAGTTTATGGTCCACTGCACCACTAATCTCCTGGCTATTACCCGTTGGGCATTGATTGGAACAGTCCAATTAATTAAGTGTACAACATACAACAAAACAAAACAGTTTGAAGACAATGAAGACAATTTACTCATATAGAAGAAGAAAAAAAGGAAAAAGAAAATTGTTTTATTAGAGTGTCACATGCTGCAGTACAAAATATATAGACATATAAACATTTCATTAAAAAAACAGCACCCTGCCAGGTGGACTACGAGACACTAATTACA